GAGCTGTTCCTGGGGGACGCTTCCACATGAAACACGTAGATATTCAGGGACACGTTAGAAAAACTGTTTGCATCTGAGTAACACTGAAAGAAAGAAACTCTTATGTCAGTTACCTAGGTTTGCTTGAAAAATCATCTACAATGGACTTTTGCAAAATATATGAATATAAGAATAAAAGCTAAACTATAAGCTTTCTCCCTTCTTGTCTCATGGTCCGAGGAGACCTCATTGCAGCTTTCCAGTACCTGAAGGGGGCCTACAAGGGTACTGGGAGAGGACTTTTTACAAGAGCCTGTAGTGATAGGACAAGGGGGAACAGGTTTAAATTGAAAGCGGGGAGGTTTAGATTAGATATCAGGAAGAAGTTCTTCACAGAGAGGGTGGTGAGGCACTGGAACAGGTTTCCCAGAGAAGTTGTGGATGCCCCATCCCTGGATGTCTTCAAGGCCAGGCTGGATGTGGCTTTGAGCAACCTGGTCTAGTGGAAGGTGTCCCTGCCCATGGCAGGGGGGTTGGAACTAGATGATCTTTAAGGTCCCTTCCAACCCAAACCATTCGATGATTCTATGGTCTCTCCCTTCGCAGACAGGAGACAGCGTCACATAAAATGGCCTGTTGGTAAAACCTGAGACAACCGGCAAATCTCCAAGGCAGTGTTAGCCATAGGCAAATGTGCCTACACACGGTTAAATTCAGACACCACAGAGAGGGAAGCCCTACTCCGTAACAATTTAAGCTTGTTTTTACTGAAAGAGCTGTGGTTGAACTGTATAAATGCTTGATGTTCATGTTGTATGAAACTGACTTCCATCTCAACAGTTTGATCATTATTACATGACATTTAGAATGGCTGAATTTGACTGACTCAACAAATAACTGTAGAGTCTCGCAGTAGTGAGACAATACACTTCCAAGAGACCTCACTTCACCATGTTTAAATATCAGGCACACGGCTTTGCGCTCCACTGGGACCCATGGGAACGCCAGTGCATGGATTACAAGATCCCATCATTTAAGGATGCAAAGTAATTGTGCAACAGATAAACTGAGAAAAGCAATTTGAGCTCAAAGTTTATCTAGCTTAAAATTCCTGGGGACTCTGAGTATATCTGAGAAGCATTTACATAGATGACCAAAAAGAAGGAGTAAATATCAAAAAACTTTTGCTCACTGCCAGACTGTCGGTTACAATATACACACACACACATATACTGTGTGAACACAATACTGGACGATTTTCGTAGAATATTTTGCTTGTACGGTAACATCTAAACTACTCTGTAAAAATATCAAATTTATTAAAATCCTAGTTTCTCTTTGAATTTCCATCCTACTGCACTACTAAGATTTGTTTTGAAAGCAAGGGGCGGGGGAGGAAAAACCACACCACAAAAAACCCCATAAGCCCACGTTTCCAAGATAAACGGGGATATTACAGGTTCCAAACAAACCTGGCTTCTGCTCTGACATTTGTCTAAAAGCTGTAAGTAAAAGGCTTGGAAAAATGAAGAATTTCAGGAAGTCTAATTAAAAAAAAAAGTCTTTAAACAAACAAAAAAACCCCCAACACACCAACACCAAAACACACACATAAACCAGGTACCCACCCCTCACATGCAATCAGTTTTGTTCCAAGTATTTAATACTGTAAAAAGGCTTTGAAAAATCACAGTTCTCTAAAATAAAACAAATCACATATTTCCAATACCACTTTATCTAAAGGAAAACCACTTGTATTTACCATGGTTCAGAACCCTGTACAGTACCGTAAGAGGGAACAACCACTATTCCCAAGCAGTTAACGTAATGTATCCTGAAGTGGTGTGATGGCGAAAAGTATTAAAGTAATCCCAAATTGGAGCCTGGCTGTCTTGGAATTTCCCAAGGAAACTGGTATTTCAAGAACAACAGTCTCATTTTCCTGTAGGCTAGGAAAGTGTATTAACCCACATGTCTAAAATTTTCAAGAATTTTCCTTGTGGCACACCCACACCATCTCCTGTTTATACATGAACAGCACCCAATAAAACTGTTGTATGGCAAATAACATTACCCTCCAAGTCTAACTGTTTCTTAGCTTTCTTTACCCTAAAAAAAAAAAAAAACCTAGGGCTATACCATGCTTTAACGTGAAAGAAATTCTAGGTGAAGCTTGCTAAGTTTTATTTCCAAGTCACGTTTCAACTTTGCAAACCTCAACCCTGTGGTTCACGGCAACACGCTGCCCCTGACACCCCCCCACCAAGGCCTGCTTGTGGCCCCAAGTTATCAGACTGCTGTCTGTAGGAGCAAAGAATGCTGTCCAAAGTACAGCTCTGGCAAATTCTGGATCCACTCACAAGATTCCCCCTTCTCACACCCTGGTGACAACAGTGCTGTCCTGGAGTCCACCAGGACAACGCAGTACTTCTAACTTGTTCAGCATTTTTTGCCTGAAGGCAGTGCACAATATCTCGGGCAGGGTTTTTAACCACAGTTACACTTTTCCATGGAATACAACAATTACCGTTGTGCTAACTCAAGGGATACATGATTATGTAAGAGATTATAACTCTGTATGTCTGTAGAAATAAGCACAACACACCTTTTAATTCTGCTCAGCTGGTAGCACTAATGTCTCAAAAGCAATTTAATAACATTAAAAAAAAACCCAAAGTAACCAGTAAGTCACAAATACTCCTTCCTGGTACAACATAAATAACCTGTAACTCCACCGTCATCTGATAAGCACATGACTTCATATATTTTTTCCACTTCTATTTTCTTTCCATAACATTAACATACTACACTTCTTTGCAAAACACTGTATAACCCACGCACAGTACCATTTTACATATCAGCACATTCAAAGGTATTCCACAACAGCTGTTTTTACTACATTCATATGCCTATTTTAAAACATTTCAGTTACCGATTTCACTTCAGTAATTTTTCTCCCATAATCTAATTAATGTCTCCAGGAAGATCTAGCAGTTAACTGTAAAACCTACAGCTGCATGAAGCACGTTCTCACTGTTGACTGTACTCTTCAAAATCGTTAGTGGTAATGCTTGTAAAACTGAGAACTTTCCCAGAAGTGCACAAAGTTCACTAAGAAACCTGGATAATCGACAGCTGAAATGCCCCATGAGCAAGAGTTACACTGCAGCCGCCGTCATCTCTGCACAGTGCTGTCCTGGGCCACACACGAGGAGAGGTAGAACGCATCTACCTGTGTTGCCATGAGAAGGTGCCTACCCAGGAGAGGTGGGGTCTCGAGGGTCCCTTTATGATCAGTGGAGAAACGGAGAAGAATCATCTCCTGGGTATCTCTCTCTCTCTCTGACTTCAGAAACCCTAAACAGCTAACTTGAACAAGAAGCTTGAATTCAGACCCAAAGAGATTCCCACTTTAAAAGTGCTTAGAATAAATAAGAAATAAGGAACTAGGTAAAATCAGAAATACCCCACAAAAGTAAAAGCAAATCCACTGTTATGAATATTAGAAAGTAATTCTAAAATACTCAAAGATGATTTTTCTTCCTTTAAGGGACCTTTTGACTCTTTTGTTCCTTTCCTAATTTGTGCAAGTTATTCCCGGACCCTCCCATCCTTTTTGAGGGAGGAAAAAGAAACAAAAATGCCTTCCCTCCTGCCCTGCCTTTTTTTCCACTAGCATTCATGGCAACCCCTCTGATGCACAGTATTACATCATCTCGTTTTAAACAGAATTCCCAAGTCCTTTCATCGGTTATATCTGTACCAAAATTGGTAACGTATTAAGACTGAAACGTGTTTCAAGTCCTGCATCAGCACTGCACAATTCTTATTCTACTATGGAGTGGCATCATGAAAACTATCAAATCTGTTATTATATTAACATGCCCTTCAAGCTGCTTTTTTTTCCCCGAGTGTTTCTTCTTCCTTGTTTGCTAAGACATTTGCTGACATTTGTCAGACTTCAATACACAGATTCAAAAAGCAGCCCCCCATAAGCATCCTTAATGTAATGGAGTCTCACCAGTACATTTTTCTGGAGCTACACTCATTGACGATTTATTAGTTCCCACACACAGCTATTGTTTAAAAGATCTTCAAAAGGCCTGTTTACTAAAACAAGTGCCAACTGTTTTTTCAGCTGCCCTCAAACTGCCTGCAATACAGGACAACCCTGCTAAAGGAGGATGCCTTTGCCAACTGCAGTTTGAAGTACTGTAAACAAACTGATATAAAGCACCAGAAGGTTTAACACCACAGTGTCAGCATTTCTTCCTCTGACTACGCAACTCTGAATATGCAAGTAAAGCTAATAGCATTAAAAAAAAAAAAAAAACACAAAACTCAGCAGTATCCTACAGCAACAGTTTAAAAGGTTAAGAATGTATCAGTCTATCTGAAGTTTCACACCACTCTTCATCATGCTGGTGGTGAAGCTGAGCAGCTTCCTATAAACAGGGAGAATATCCACCAGTGATCTCTGCCAAAGTCTGAATTTCCTCTAATACCAATTACACTTAAGAAGTTTTGTTGCAGACTCCTGTGAGGCCAGGATTTCATCTCCTCACTTTTTTCCCATACTGAAGTCTACGCTGTGGTTGCCCTTGAAAGGGTTAACTTGGTTTCAAGAACAAGGTTTTCATTTACGTCATTTTATAGCATCTTCTAAAAGTAATTTTGAAATCATCTCAGTTGGTGAAATACCAATTTGCAACACGTTTCACACTTGTGACTGTTTCTGTGGAATGCTACGCGGAGGAGCAGGGAAGAGTAGTCAGTATGAGAGTTCAGAGAGTACCATTCATTACACATCAGAAGGCACTACAGGAGAACAAGAAAGACGAGGCACACTTAACAGTTAAAAAAACAAGAGTCTGCATCTGTTAATCTTCCCCCCAAATATAGGAAGATTCATAGCTACCTCTAACTTTGGTGTCAAATAAACTATGAAGATAGCCAAGTATTCAAGAACTGCATTTATAGAAGAAACATAGATTATAGTGGCCATTACAGTACACTCCATCTTAATCTAAAAATGCATCCAGTTTCTTTTTGATATGTTCAAAAGAATCTTTCCCCAGATAGTCCATGCGCCCTTCCTCCCATTTTCTCCGTTCATCTTCTGGACTTGGCTCTTCTGGTCTGAGGTGAATAGACAGCTCTGAAACAGAATATGCGACCTCGTTCTGTGGGAAGAAGCAGAACAGTGGGAAAAGAGTCATTTGGTTGTTCTCATTTCAGTGCTGTGAAATTAAACCTTAGGTGTCAAACTTCTGCTTTGTATGGTCCCAGTTAAAACAATAAAAGAAACAGTATGCAAACATTCACTCTTGTTTTGATAAGGTGATCTCATTTTCCCATGTTTTTACTACCTGTCATAGCATCTTTGAATATACCAAACGTTTGTTTTACTTGTCTTAACTCAGACCTCAGCACAGTCAGCAACACCACAATGAGAGTGTTACCAATAAGGCCTGTCTAGAGCAGTGTCTCCTACAGTAAAGTGTAACCATGTGCCTGTGCAAATTTTATCTTCACCAGGCTTTCACGGGAGTAGAAGATCCTAGAACTGTTGGTAATTTGTTTTGTTTGATCTCCAGCGAGATCAGTATTAATTTAGCAGAATTATTATTAGCCACATGAAATAATTCAGACTGACACTATTCATTATACCAGTAACTAATTCATTGTGAATGATGGTCCAAAATAGGGAATCCTGGTTCAAGATCACGTTATCACAGGTGCACAAACACAAGACACATTATTATTGATAATTTCAACCACATAAAAAGAACTGTGACCGTGGTTGACCAATGCAGTAAAACCAGAGTATCCCAACAATTCTAAACAGTATAAAAGATGAACTATAACAAGGGCTGATCAAGGCAGCTACTGAAAACCTGCTTTCAGTACTACTCAGAGACAAACAACTCATGTCATAAACAAAATTGAAATCAAGCAAATGGCCTTCCAGCAAAGCCCCCACGAATTCTATACAAAAAGCTTTCAGAACAGAACTTAATGAGCGGGAACTGGTGGCTTAAACTGCCTAAAACCCCTGGAATATCGATTACATCTGCCAGTCTGGGGCAGATAAGGCACAGGACTCGCACAAGACCTGCACCTGCAGACCAGGTAAGGTATTTCAAACAGCCAACACAACACTATGTTTAGGCAACCGCATCCTTCTGGATGTATCCCCACCTGGGTCCTACTCTGCACGTGACTTCACACACGAATAAATACGCTGGAGAGCACATCTGCTCCCTGTATATGCATCAATACTTTCTATTTACATTTTCAGGCTTTCTATACACATAATGGCAGTAATGCATGAAGACTCATTTATTACTGGCAAGCCTCATCCACAGCTTTTGATGCCATTAACATCAAGACAGGAATTGTTATGCTTTTAGAAATGAAGAATTTCAGCTAGGGCCCCCAGACTGCACAGGAGCTCCAGCTTCACCAACAGCTTTGTTTCTTGCTCTTTAAGTACTTCACGGCAGTGCCTCACATCACACAAAAGGCCTCATTAGGAAAACGGCTGTGCTGTGCACCTTATGAGATACAACTCCTTGACGGTTTGTCACCCTCATCAGTGCCAAGTCCGGCACTGCTGTCACGCTGCCCACAGATAAAGGCAGTGCAAGACCACAAAGGAAAGCCCAGTAGCTTAGGCTTCATGCCTGATTCAGCGTCCATTCATGTTCAACTTGCTTGGAAACATCACTTCAGCAGGTAAAAAAACCCAACAAAACAAACCACAACAACAACAGAAAAAGACAAACAAACAGCTTTGCTCGTATTAGTACTGGAGAGCTCAAATTAACACCATGCATTCATTACTTGAGGGCTAGCACAGAAAAATATGTTTAAAAACAACATACAGCTGATTAAAGTGGGTCATACCCCAGTACTGGAAGCAGTTAAGGAATTACACAGCTGAAAGATTCAAGAATTTATCTACACATTGCATCACAATTAACTGAGATTCCGCAAAACTATGCTGGCAGCACAGACACGCATGCAGTTATCAACCAACATAGGATGCAGAAAGCTACTCGTACCAGCTGTGTGGTTTCCTGAAACGCAGGACGAATTACGGGTTGTTCGGAAGGTCTGTCAGGCTCAGAGAGACGGACGTTAGAACGGCCTTGTTCAACTTCACATACGGGTTGCTAAAATACAGCCACTGAGGTTTATTAGGAGAACATATTTTTCATGGTTTCTTTATCATAAGAATTCACACAATACAAATCAATTTCGGTCTTGGGGTAGGGGAACGCAGGAGGTGGGAGGAAAAGGAATGAAACACATTATCACCAAGAACAAAATTCATCTCAGCTTTAGCTCAAAACGGCATTGGATCTAAGCACCCACTACAACAAATCTAGGATAAGTACCTCCAGAGGGCAGCTCATCTCACCCTACAGTATATTCAATAGTGGCTGTCACTCTTCAGTGGCTACAGAAACAGCCTGGAAAGCTATTAAAAGTAGACGCCTACCACCCATGAGGCCAAACTTCAGTGAGAAAAATCTCATTTTAGGGTAATAGCTTCCTCTGTAACTCATGAGCTTTTTACATATATAGCATGAGAACCGAACAGTGAATTCCAGAGCAGAGGTAAAATAATTTGCCCAAAAACACACTGCCCCAAATATCTGCCTTTGCCAGATATCAAAACAGAAGTGAGTAGACAGACCCCATTCTGAATCTCTTCAACCAAAACCAAACCCCACAAGAAGCTAAGCAACAAAAAGTGGAACAATGGTGTTCCTAAGTAAGAAGGGAATCGGGCTATTACTTTCTAATTAATATAATCTTCTGATAAACCAAACCTCGTAATTAAAAAATAAAATAAATTTAAATGTGAATGATACTGTTTTCAGCCAACATTATGATTATTTTTTTTACCCCAAACATATTGAAAGTGCATCCCTGTTTGATCTGAGCATTCGCAGAGTCTATGCATGAGGCACACAAGGTGACACACCCTTTGCAAATAAATTATTCTGAAGTTACAGGGCTAGAAAATTTGCAGTTTTCCTTCAGCCCCTCCACACTCAGGGTGGACAAGAAAGGAAGGAAGACTACAGTTTTACTTTATGGAGTAGCTGTAATCTGGAGGGATGAAGCACTGAACATAATAAAAACTGTCTTCATCTTACTAGAGGATAGTCCACAAGTTACAATAGCAGACGACATCAGAACATTCATTTTATTTCACCCCAGTTGTACCTTGCAGTAAGTAGCATGGTATACCGTACAACACAGTGACTTACACCTCCAGAAGTGTTGCGCTATTACATCCAACTGAATTCGTGCATCAAATAAGGGGAGTCAGTGCAACAGAAACACCTGGATACGAGCCTGAGGACTGGAGGAAACCCAGTGTTACTCCAGTCTTCAAAAAAGGCAGGAAGGAGGACTCAGGTAACTATAGGCCGGTCAGCCTCGCCTCCATCCCTGGAAAGATGATGGAACAGCTTGTTCTTGGTGCCATCTCAAAGCATGTTGAGGAAAGGAAGCTTATCACAAGTAGTCATCATGGATTCAACAAGGGGAAGTCACGCTTGACTGATCTGATAGCTCTTCATGATGGCATCACTAGATGGATAGACGAGGGGAAGGCAGTGGATGTGGTCTGCCTTGACTTCAGCAAAGCTTTCGACACGGCCTCCCACAGCATCCTCATAGCCAAGCTTAGGAAGTGCAGACTGGACCATTGGACAGTGAGATGGATTACGAACTGGCTGGAGGAAAGAGCTCAGAGAGTTGTAGTCCATGGGGCAGTCTAGCTGGAGGCCTGTGACTAGTGGCGTCCCCCAGGGGTCAGTGCTGGGTCCAGCCCTATTCAATATATTCATCAATGACCTGGATGACGGGGTAGAATGCACTCCCGGAGAGTTTGCTGACGATACCAAACTGGGAGGAGTGGCTGCCACGCCAGAAGGCTGTGCTGCCAT